AAACGTGGTGTGGTTTAAAAAAAAAACTGGAGTGCTCTGCTGGATTTGTTTAAAGCTAACAAAGCATCCCGTTATTTTTTATTTTATAATACTCAATACCCTAAGAATAGCCTAAAATAAGACATAGCTGTTAAAAAAAAAAATAGCATATTTTTTTCGAAAAGTTCTATATTTTAAAAATGTGAAAATGAGATTTTTTTTTAAGTTTTGAAAATTCGAGGTTCTTTACTGGATTCGTTCTGAGCTAGTAAAGCTCTGCTCGTCTTGTTACATCAAATAAGGCACTTTGTAGCTGGTTATATAGTTATTTTGTAACAGCATATCTAACCCTTTCATTTTTTTCAGGTGGTTGTAAACATGTAGCTTTTTTGCTGTGGCTTCATAGAAGAAGTGAGATACCATCTGTAACATCTACTCAGTGTTATTGGAAAGGCTCTAATTTATCAAAATGCGTAAATATTGATGTAGACTTGGCTAGATTGTTAAAGAAACCTCTTCATCAACTACAGAAAAATAAATCAGTACTTTTATATTCTTAGGATTTGTATATATATTTTTTATTTGTAAATAAATTGTTTTTTACTTCATTTTTCTCATTTTTTATTAAAAGGTTAATAAATAAAATTTTCACAGATTTTTATATTTTTGTTTATAAACAATAAATGAAGAGTTTTTATTAAAAATCACCAATGTTAATAATAATAACTTAAGTCAATATTATTCTTTCTCCTTTTTTAAAGCTACTATCAATAAAGGTATTACTTTAGCTTGACCTATGATCAATTTTTAATTTTGTGCTATATTTGATTTGACAGAGAAAAAAATTATAACCCTTTGACATTGGTTGTTTTTACTTAGATTTTCATAAAACATAAACAGAACTGCAAACATGTTTTACTATCGTAATAACGAATAGCAACATTAAATTTTTTTTTTTTTTCACATTTATCTCTGTTGTCATTTTCGTCAAGGAATGATAAGAAGGCACACTTGCTGGTTTTTTGAAAAAGGTGGCAAGAATTGTGATATTTTTAAATTTATCACCAGTGATACCACATGTAGTTACCTGACTTATTGGAATATATATACTTTGCTACCCCATTCAACTGAACTTGGTTGTTTTTAATATTTATCACTGTGTCATAGGATGTTTTTGTTAAAATGTTTCATTTTAAACTGCTGAAAATAGGTGCCTTTGGTTTGGTAGTTTTAGTCCCAAAAAAATCTATGCATATACAGGCACTCATTCTGCTTTGATTTGCTCGAAAAGTTAAAATTTTATATAAAATTACATTGACTGTTTAAAAACTCTTTATTATAATCCCTGATATGTGATAATTAGGTAAATTAAATTAAAAAACAAATAAAAAAAGTTTATTAAATTAATATTTACTCTTACAAAATAGGTTCTTGTAAGTTAACAAGCAATTATGCAGATATTACTAAGTAAATATACTTGCTTAAAATTCACACAGGAATGTGGTTTTAACATTCCCTAACCCTTCTTATAACTCTTTCCACATGTATTCTTAGAGATGCTATTCTTTTACTTAATTGTACATCTTCTGAAGAACTTTTTTCATTTTGTGATACACTAGGTGTGGGCTTACTAAAGTGCATCCCATGTTTTCAAGTAATGGCTGAATATTCTTAAACCTTCTATCTGCCATTATATGGGATCCAGGAACCAGTTTGTTTAAATACCCACATTTTTCTATTATTTCTTTATCACTAATTCTTCCAGAAAATGATGAATACATTCGCTATCTTCACAACTTTCAGGAGGTTCTGGATTTTCTTCCAGAAGTGTTTTTAGGTTATACACCTAAGAATTTATAATAGCCTCATTTTCAATTTCCTGAAGGGGACAATTAGCAGAAATTGCTGCTACATCTTGAATATCCGGTATATTTTTGTTAAACAGTTGACGAGAAACATCGCTAGTAGAAGGTTGATTTTCTTCTTTCCAAATTTCTAGGAACACTAATAAATATTTTTGAAGATGAATGTGAATCATTATCACATTCTGGAACAAAAAAATTTTTTTTAGTCATAATATTTATAAAAAGTACAAAATTAAACACTCAAATTCGAAATAAATTCTTGATTGAGACACTATGACAGATGACACACACAGTGCTGCTGTTTTGCCATTTTCTAAATTATTAAGTGACTAAAACAATGAAACTTTAAATATGGTAAAAGTTTAAACAGAAATAATACTTTCAAAAAACATTTGATATTTATTTAAAAGATATTTGTTTAACGATGTTTTAGAAGTCTAAAGTAAGACGGAGTACACAAACGAACGTACATCACTTCTCGTAAACCTTCTAACCGGCAATGTTGTGGCGTTAACTCCTATTGTTTTATTCTCGGTGACGTCATAACTCTGGCAAATGAATAGATAAAAAAAATGTAGCTTTATTTTCAACTCTATTATTCACAAAAATAATTTTCAAAATTTTTGAACATGCTCCATTTGACATTATTGGGTGCTTTAGAGCGTCACAGTTATTTTGGAGCTTGCGTATTTTCATTTGCAGTAAATAAAAGAAGGAAGTCATTAATTATTAGAACTAATCGGTATTTTTAAACGAAATGTAGACTAATCTGAATATTTTAGTTTATCGTCTAATATTAAAATCCATTTTACTTAGTGGTTGAGCGATTATTGAAATATTATTAAAAATGGATTTCCCCTTTTTAACATGTAAACTTGATGTGCCTCATTGGAGCAGAGAGCAGCGCGTTAGTTTCCTAATCTTAAAGTTGTGAGTTTAATTCTACCTGGAAGTGTTTTCTTATAATTTTGAATTGATTTTTTTTTATTTTTAAAATTACAACAAAAAACATTTGATGTGTCAATAAGATGCCATTGGAGAATTCTAACCGAAAGCATTTTTGAAATGAATATACTAACCAAATATTTTTTACACTTATCATAAATTAAGCTTTTAATAATTATGTAAGTAAGCAACACAACATACACATTACACACGCTTCGCTGGTCAAGTTATACCTGGTCAAATGATAATTGTGGTAAAATTTTAATTTGGCGTGTTAAGGCCGAAACAACGTCACTCCACCCCACATTATGTAATAAAAAGTAACCGTGTAATCATTTATTTGCTTAACTATGCTGTGGGCACACTTGACCCACGCGATACCATGCCATGTTATCCGTGTGGCCTTTCAAAATTATTAGATGCTGCCAATACGTGTTAAGACGTGTAGATGTTTCACGAAGGCCCCTTTAGCCCCGCTGTAATCTTCTTTCGTACTACTTCATTAGATTAGAATTTAAAGAAGTTTGACTTTATTTGTCCTTGTCCACCGCGACCTTTTGAGTTCTATTATGGGACTCCGTTTCTTAGAATGTTGTCTAACTTGGTCCTTTTCGTTAGGTTTATTAGCCTTGACAGTGGCTCCCGCATATAGTTCCATGCGTCTGGCTTTTTTTCTCCTAATGTTAGAAGCCTCAATCTAGCCAGACCTTTACACTGACACAGAACGTGGATTGATATTACCTCTTCTTCTTCACATAACCTGCACAATTTTGTTTATTCTGCCTTTTTAGGCAACAGTTTCCGTTAAGAAAACCAACTGTTATTCTAACGATTTGATGTTTTTAATCCAATAGGTCTTTCGTGAACATGACCGATGGTTTCTTTATAATTTGTTTGGGCCATCCAAATCTTGAATAGTTGTTTTACCATTTCTGAGACTCTTTTTGCATCCATTGTTTGATGAATACCTTGCACAATACCTTAGCAAATCTACAGGAAGGATATAGAGCCTGTCATGTCCTAATCTAGGCCTTCTCGGCCTTTTTATTTCCCTGATTTTCATCGTGGCTGAAAGTCAGACTAGAGTCACTTTGTTTTAATTACTTAGCTGTGTTAGGTCTGCTAGGCAATCTTTCACTACCCGTAATTTGATTTTTCGTGAGAGAATTGCCTTACAGCTTCTCGGCTATCAGAGCAGATGGCAATAGTTTCGCTTGGTACTTGCTGATTTATTATTTCTCTTGAACACTGTTGAATCACTGTTTTTAGCTTGGTCCAAAGATTCCAAAACTGGTTAATTCCTTGGTTTTTAAACCGCTCGTTTTTTTATTTCATATGTATAGTCTTAAGGGGTCCTCGATTTTACTTACCATTGCTCATTTCTTACCATATTTTTTTTTAATTTTTATACATTTACTGGTTTGATTTTATTTTGTCTTTTTAAAGCTCTTTCCACTTTTAAGGTGTTATATTTTAGCAGACAGATAAGAGGACAGTTAAAAATCAAATTAATTTTACTGCTACGATTTTCCAATCAAGTGAGATTATTAAAAATTAAACATTTGGAATTTATGTTCTCCATTTTTTCAAAATTAATTATTTCCAATAAATGAACAGGTTTTTAAATACTGTTTCCTAGCAATTTAAGATCATTTGTAGGCCTTGTAGCCTAACTACCTTCTATTTAACTTAAACGCAGGTTTTGCGTAAAATAAATAACCCCGTTGGAATATAGTACATTTAACTAGAGAGAAGAGAAACATTTGAAACCTAATCACTGGATTGGCCAATAGCAGCCGGGCTCATGTCAAGGGTCTATTTTGTTTACGCGAAACTTTTGTTCAAGTCGAATAACCGTTAGGTTATATTAATATAAAGAATAGAAGGATAAAGGCCATTATTCCTTGTTTTATTATAAATCCAAAAACATAGATGGGCGATAATTTAATATCTTATTTTAGAACAAATTTCATTGAAATGTTTATAGAAATGTTCATAGAAATATTCATAAATATATTCATAGAAATATTCATAGAAATATTCATAGAAATATTTATAGAAATATTCATAGAAATATTCATAGAAATATTCACAGAAATGTTCATAAAAATGTTCATAGAAATGTTCATAAAAATGTTCATAAAAATGTTAATTAAAATTTTCACAGAAATGTTCATAGAAATGTACATATAACTGTACATGCGAAGGTTCATGGAAATGTCCATAGAAATGTTCATATACATGTTTATAGAAATTTTGATAGAAATGTTCATAGAAATATTCATAGAAATGTTCATAGAAATGTTCATAGAAATGTTCATAGAAATGTTCATAGAAATGTTCATAGAAATGTTCATAGAAATGTTCATAGAAATGTTCATAAAAATGTTCATAAAAATGTTCATAGAAATGTTCATAGAAATGTTCATAGAAATGTTCATAGAAATGTTCATAGAAATGTTCATAGAAATGTTCATAGAAATGTTCATAGAAATGTTCATAGAAATGTTCATAGAAATGTTCATAGAAAAGTTCATAGAAATGTTCATAGAAATATTCATAGAAATGTTCATAAAAATGTTCATAGAAATGTTCATAGAAATGTTCATAGAAATGTTCATAGAAATGTTCATAGAAATGTTCATAGAAATGTTCATAGAAATGTTCATAGAAATGTTCATAGAAATGTTCATAGAAATGTTCATAGAAATGTCCATAGAAATGTTCATAGAAATGTTCATAGAAATGTTCATAGAAATGTTCATAGAAATGTTCATAGAAATGTTCATAGAAATGTTCATAGAAATGTTCATAGAAATGTTCATAGAAATGTTCATAGAAATGTTCATAGAAATGTTCATAGAAATGTTCATAGAAAGGTTCATAGAAAGGTTCATAGAAAGGTTCATAGAAATATTTATATAAATGTTCATAGAAATGTTCATAGAAATATTCATAGAAATGTTCAGATATTTTTATAAAAATGTTCATAGAAATGTTCATAGAAATGTTCATAGAAATGTTCATAGAAATGTTCATAGAAATGTTCATAGAACTGTTCATAGAAATGTTCATAGAAATGTTCATAGAAATGTTCATAGAAATGTTCATAGAAATGTTCATAGAAATGTTCATAGAAATGTTCATAGAAATGTTCATAGAAATGTTCATAGAAATGTTCATAGAAATGTTCATAGAAATGTTCATAGAAATGTTCATAGAAATGTTCATAGAAATGTTCATAGAAATGTTCATAGAAATGTTCATAGAAATGTTCATAGAAATGTTCATAGAAATGTTCATAGAAATGTTCATAGACATGTTCATAAAAATATTTATAAAAATATTCATAAAAATGTTCATAAAAATGTTTATAGAAATAATCATAGAAATGTTCATAGAAATAATCATAGAAATGTTCATAGAAATAATCATAGAAATGTTCATAGAAATGTTCATAGAAATGTTCATAGAAATGTTCATAGAAATGTTCATAGAAATGTTCATAAAAATGTTCATAGAAAGGTTCATAGAAAGGTTCATAGAAAGGTTCATAGAAATATTTATATAAATGTTCATAGAAATGTTCATAGAAATGTTTATAGAAATGTTCATAGAAATGTTCATAGAATTGTTTATAGAAATGTTCATAGAAATGTTCATAGAAATGTTCATAGAAATGTTCATAGAAATGTTCATAGAAATGTTCATAGAAATGTTCATAGAAATGTTCATAGAAATGTTCATAGAAATGTTCATAGAAATGTTCATAGAAATGTTCATAGAAATGTTCATAGAAATGTTCATAGAAATGTTCATAGAAATGTTCATAGAAATGTTCATAGAAATGTTCATAGAAATGTTTATAGAAATGTTCATAGAAATAATTGTAGAAATGTTTATAGAAATGTTCATAGAATTGTTCATACAAAAATGTTTACAGAAATATTAATAGAAATGTTTATAGAAATGTTCATAGCAATGTAAAATTTTGAAACGTAAAAACTTACTTCCATGCAACATCATGCCGTCATTATAAAGTGATTTTTTGGTGTGCGTACATATCTTCTTTTTGACGAATCGGTATTACGTTAAAATAACGTGTATATCGGGTGTCGTAGGCTAGGAAAATTGACGTCATTATTACGAATCTACCTAACGTCAAAGTGACGTCTATATTGGGTGTCCCAAGGTTGGATGAAATTATTAAAAATACTAAGCATATGAAAATTATTTATTTAATACAAAAAAACACATGAAAAATATATTATAAAAAATAAATTACTCTGGTAAATAAAAAAGTCATGAGCAAGAAACCAAAAGGAATAAAATGACAAAAGAATATTAGAGGAACTGACACAACATACCTAAAATTGTAAATTTGATTTTATTTGGGGGTGGGCGAGCATGCTTTACGATTTCATCATCTTCAGTATCATCGAATGACAGCTTTCTAGTTGGCACCTGTTTTCTTTTAGTAGGTACTTTATCAGCCTTTGAAAGTAGATCTGAGGTAACTTCGACTTTTTTAATTTGGTACATCACTTATCATTATCATCTAAAATAAAAGAACTATTAAAATACTGACCACTGAAAATTCTTAAAGATAAAAAGTAAATTGTGTATTAAGTTGTAAAAACTACCTTCTCAGAGATTTATATACATATAGTCTGAGTTTATAATAACAGTTATTAAAAGAAAAAAAATATTCTTTGAGATGATAAATGGTATCTAAATCAAGTGACCTACTACAGAGCTTTTATTTTTAAGAAACTAATAAAAAAATACCCTGAAAAACTCATAATCAAAAAATAAATGCATAACATTACTCACCAGTCTTATATTATAGTACATTTCTTTATATATTTTTTTATAAAGGCGGCCAAAAGGCTAGTTTTTTAAGCAGCGTCAGCCATTTTTTGCTCACCTTACAACCGCCAAACCTTCATCATCCCGTTTTTTAAACTAAACAATGCAATACATCTGTAAAATACCAAATTCGGTTTAATATACTTTACTGTTTTGTCATATTCTATTTTTTACCTTTTTGTAAAACATCTTATCTAATAAAGTACAAAGTTCTGACGAGTAAACCCAAAAAAATCACGTCATAATGACAGCACCTTGCTGCTTGGGCTTTGGTTAGTGATCGTAAAAAAATATTTTAATCAAGTAGAATTCAACAGTATAGTCGTACTCGAATGATAAAAATTGATTTTGTATTCGCAACCAGGAGCGGCGGATGTATTGAATCGTTACATTATACTATTTCACTTCGCTTACATTTTGAAACAATTTTAAAAAAGGTCTTTAGGTCCTACTGCTTCTATCTCATGCTGCTTAAGAAGCTGTGTTTCAAAATTATGTAAAACCATGTTGGCTAAAATCTAACTTTTGCTCTTTCTTTATTCACTTATTTTAAATACCTTTTTCTGTAACTTGGCCTAGTATAGAACAAATACGATACAATTTTTTTGAAAAATAGGGTACTGGTCTATTATTTTTGAATTTCGGAGGTCTACTTACATTTTGCGTATCTCATTTTTAGTCGATACATTCTGGACGACAGAAAAATCTCCTGCATTTAGCTATTGCTGTGCTGTGCTCTTACGTCTATATTATAATTTCAAAATTTCCTTTTTAGTAATATAATTTATATTAATGTATTTATCAACGAATAAAAACTACTAGACAGACTAATCTATTCATTTATAATCAAGCAGTCCAGGATCTGTAAGTAAGGTCGACCTTCACCAATATATTTAATGGATAAAAGTTTTTTTAATAAATAAAATGTGTTTTTAAACAAACTGCAAATGCGATGCCTAAGAAAATACGGTCACAGCCATTTTTTACTTTTCTTTCTGTGTACAGATAAGAAAAGTATAGGAATCACGATAAAAGTTGCTTATTATGTCATTTTCTATTATTTTGTCCCTATACATGATTTCCTAAAAATGGACCTAATTTGAGATATTTGAGGAAAAGTGCAATTTCGAATTTTGAAGATAACTCAAAAAAGGATAAAGAGAAAAACATCAAATTTTAAACTTAAGCTTTAATACATTCTGCAGTAAGCAGATTAAAATTAGGTATAGTCGAAGCATCTGGGAAATATTTTACAGGGTGTCGTTTTTTGTTTTTTTTTTAAGAAAATAAATAGTCTAGACCATATTTTCTTAGGCAACCTATTTTCGGTATATTTATAAACATATTTTATTTCATAAAAAGAAACCTTTATCCATTAAACATATGGGTGAAGGTCGACCTTGCTTTGAGCCTTACACCAAAGTCCTTATTTATTGCAATCATTTAGATTGTATTTTATATCACGCAGACAGAGCTGTCGCATCGGCTGCCGCATTAGAAAGAACGATAGGGCTGCTTATTTGAGTGAGGATGGTTTGTGCTAGTTTGTTTATCTGAGATTTATATTAGTGATATTTATATAAATATGTTTATTTTAACCTAAACTGTAATTAAGAGTCATCCTATTGGATACTGTAATTGTTTTTTATACTACACGAATACCTATCTAAGAATAATGAGAAAGCTGTTTTTAAATAATAAAATAATAAATGGATTTTAATTTCAATAAAACATTATTTCCATTAACCATCGGTCTAATTTTGTTTTAATCGGATTCCAATACCCATTTAGCAATGAGTTAAATCTTAATGATAAAAAGGAAGTTGCAAAAGAGGGAGGTCACATGGCTTATATTTTCATCACAATCTAAGCTTCTTACAAAGTGCGAGTAACTACCATAAAACTAATGGACTCTGGTAACGACACTATTAAGGTAGAAACATTATCTAAGTGTGGTGCCCTGACTGCGCGTATTATAGGCTGATACAACAGATATTAAACATTAAACAATTTAAATTGAAAGGCGGTTGAATACCTACAGGTTTTTTTCTAATTAGTTAACTTAAATATTTGAAAGTACGATCCCGAAATTTTCTCAAGTCAAATGGCTTTCGGACGAATCTGCTAAATGTTATATCTGTACCTAACTATTAAAAGATAAAATGTACATTTTTTCACAAAATAAGTTATTTGGACAGATAAATTTTAACACGTTGGCCGGACACATCCTAAATCGAAGGTAGACATGAACGCGCACATAATATCCCTAAATCTGGTGGTGACAAAAATGAAATTTATTTCCCTATAAGTTCGCAACTATATGAGCTATGCTTTTATGATAAGAACAAATAGGACTGTTATGAAAGTCCATGCCTACTAACATCAACAAAAGTAAAGTTGTTGTCCTGATATTACAGCTGCTTCACTGATGTAAATTGTGCATCTCACTCATTTATAACTAATAATAAAGTGCAGATTATCAGTGTTCACGTATTACAGAACTAAAAATCAGTGTAGCCAAAACATATTCATATTGATCATGGCGGCCAGCATGAATGGGGTCATTTTTTTGTATTGACAGACGATTGAGCACTCCACCTACGGCGTCGTTCTAAAATTTCGTCTTCGTATGTCCGACCACAGTGTTGTACAAACTACTGTGGCTATTATATTTTAAATTACTTAAATATACTATATTGTGAGTTATATAACATTATTAAATGGTAAAGACTTAACTTATTCCTTAAATCGAACATACATAAAGGTTTTGATATAATTTGGCAGATGATTATATAGGTTACATATAGTATATTGAAAGATTATATAAAAACGGTTTTAGGTATGGGAGGTGCTGATATATCTTTTCTTCTTATATTAATATTATGTACATCTGTTCGAAATGATTATAATTTTATTATATAAGTACTATGGAGTTTTAGACAAAAGTATCTTGTGATAAAAACAGCATACATTGTGATTATAGACTCCATGGGTAGCCCCTTTAATTCGGATAACTTATGTAAAACATGTTCATATTTCCTGATTCCATAAATAAA